TTTTCATTTCAATAGCCAGTAGGCATCCATAAGGGACACAGGCTCATCAAATGAGCAATAACAACAATAAACTTTATGTATGTTGGCTGTCATCTACTCCAAAAACAGTGGAGTTGTCTGCTGGAAATAACAACATGCAAAAGCACATTCAACAATTATCTTCTAAGGACTTGCCTAGCAAAGAACATCCAAAAGATCTGCTTTTTAAGAAAAGTATAAAAGAAAGATAAAAAATTAATGGATTATTTAGAATATTGCAATATCATAAGAAAAATGTTGTGCTCCAGAAAGTGACTTTGCAAAACCACAACCATATTGTTTCATGAAAGACAAAAAGCCAAAAACCAAAAAGACTCTTCCCTTTCATTAGGTCTCTGTGATACATGTGTTGGATTTCTCTGCATGCCAGTACTGTCTTCCTTCACATAACGGAAATGAATCCTTGAATTCTCTTCAGACAGTGTGTAGCATACCTCAGGAAGTGGCCAAATGCTTTATTAATTATAATTATTATAATTTATAATTATTATTAATAATTACTTACAATCTGTGTCACAGGTTAAATATAAATAGACAGGCCTTTTTGAACTCGCTAAAAATAATCTGCGCATCTCACTTGATGCTTCTGTGTAAACCATCATAACAATATACTGCTTCACAGCATATTCCCTCCCAGATGAATTATTCTACTTCAAGCTTGTCCTCCTTCTACAAGGACACACATACATGCATACATATATATATATATATATATATTTGTATTATGCATAAATATCTATGTAAACATACATATATGCATACATAAATACATGAATCCCTGGAAAGACATTTATTGGGTGGAATATAGACAATAATCTACAAAAGACAGAATTTAAATTCTATCGCAAAGCAATGATAATGGCTAAGATAAATAGGTATTTACCTACATATTCCCTTCCTTTCAATTTAATGTCAATCCACACACACAAAAAACTGCCCTGGCTGAGATGCTGAGTAAGGCATATGAAATGCTGCTCTGCCTCCCTGCTGGTTTACAATCCTAGCTTTTCAATGCAGAGCTGCTATTCAGACAGCAGTTTGTGTCTGAAGAGCTTTGTGTTGTCTTTCGTGTTTAATACTTCTAACAAGGCACTTTCATTAAGTGCAGCCCAATTTTAAACATTCTGTTCATTTATGTGAGCCCTCTGTAAATGTCTGAAGGAGACCAACTGACTGCTCATACTGATTCACCCAGCTAACATTTCTTCATTTTCTCCTGTTTCTCCTCTTCTTCAGACTTTGTAAAGAGGCTCCCTTTAACAAAACCTCAAAAGGGTAGATGTTTAGCAAAGCCTACACTACAAAAACATTTCAAAGATTTATTTTATCCCCTGTTTAAAGTGGAATACACGTGGTCCCTTAAAATACCATCTCTCCTCAATTTGCTGTTGAAGTGTGAAAGTATTCTATAGTTCATTGTCAATCAGCATTGACAATTTTTTCTTTCCGGGAAGAACTTACGGCCCATTTCAAAAGTGTTCTCTAGACTGTGTGCATTTAAAAGTCCTTTAATTTATACCGGAAGTCTGAAGCTCATAAATTCCAAAACACTCATATTTCTAGAACTTCCCATTTAGGGAATCAAAGTTTTCCTCCTCCGTAGTATTTTCCCAAGGAATGATCAGACCGAGTGTGTTTGTTTTTACATCCTTCTGAAGGATGTTATTATCAAGAAATTATAATCAATACCTGTAGACAATATTTCTAAATATCCATTATTAAAAAAAAAAAGGCTCTTTTCCAAAATATGCGTATCATGAAAGCTAAGGTATGCATTTGTCTGATAGATTGACTGCTCTTTTTGGATTAGCTTATTATATATCTACATAATAAACATTAAATAGATGAATAAACTTTGGAAGATCTGATATTTGGCTATAGGTACAAACATCAATAACTATTTGTTTAGAACCGATGACTGTACCCAATGCCATACCTGGCCACGAACTGGAGACCCGCTTCAAAAATCAGCATATACACAGCAAAGTATCTCTTCTGAAATCCAGCATTAAGGAATGTACATGAAACTGAAAAAAAAAATAGGTGCTTTGTAGAACAAATTCTAATTATAGCTTAATCATTTCCCCCCCTCTCCCCCCCATATATTTTGACTGGGCCTGAAATATCAGAGTATCAGCTTCTCTGAAAGGTTTTTTATTCTTTCTATTTATGGTCTTTCTCAAAATACAGGAATACAGGGTTAAAAGGCTTCTGAGAAGTGCAACATAAAAAAAAAACCTTTTCAAAACTTCAAAAACTTAATTCTAAAAGTTTTGGGGAAAAAAGGCTTGTTTTTCCATTCCTATTCACACAATTATTTTCCTTTTCATGGACTATATGCTTGAAAATAAAGCAGCTGTTATAACCAATTGGAAGCTTTAAAAATGGTTTTGATGAAGACACCAAAAGAACACAATCCTCCTCTCTAGCTCCCATTTGTATTGGACTTCTCTTATTTCTACTATTAGACAGAAAGGAAAGCATTAAACCAAATGCCTCAAGAGAGGAAAAAAGCAAAAGTGCACTGTAATATCGAGCTTTTCTGCAGGTGTCAGGGTCAACAGTATTTTTAATAGCACTGAGCTGCAGAAGTTATATATTTAAATCTGCATCTAGTCCAACATTACTGCCCACTTTAGAAAACATTCCAGAGATGGACGAGTGAGGCATATTGGCAGGAATAATGAGTTTATTGCTACATATTCTAAAAACAGCAATACAGAAGTGGGAGGGCAAAATACACCAGACTGACCTCAAACATTCATAGTTGAGGTTTGCAAGAAAGCAAATATAACAAGCCATTTTCACCTGAATTTCGACCATTCTCTTACCCCATTTTGGAGCCTCTGTTTCTGCTTCATAAAGAGGTCTCATCTTAAGGAGTAGAGGTAGCTGTACCATTATTTTCCTTCCCTTCAATCCTGTTAGTGGAGAGGTTTATATTTTATTCATAGCCAAATTTCCCATAAAACTCCCTGGGATTGTTCAGGATCCCTAGCCTGAACAGTACTGAAGATGAAATGACACATCCTGAGTTTCTGTCTTTTCATGGCAAACGTCTTCATTGTTAGCTTAGCTTTAACTTTGAAATTGTGACTCTGCAGACAGTTAATAAAATACAGGATAATTATAACAACATATTTCCTCCTCCAAATATAGTCTTTCTTTTTTTAGCCTACCTATCTTTGCCCATGGCTAAAAATGACATGTTTTCCAATTCCTCTTTTGGTATCCACCACATGGGTCACTAATATTCGCTCCAGTCATCTATGTTACCATCTGTCACTGAAGCTGAGAAGAAAAGCAAAAAGGCCCTTCAAGCAGTAGCTAATGCTGGGCCAGCTCTCTGCCATGAGGTGTGCTGAGGAAAAGTGCAGTTGGCTCCTCTTCATGAAGCAAGCAAGCTCTGGAATAACATTTCTCTGATATTCCTCACATATATTGAAAAAGGCAGCAGTGAGACGGTCGCAAAAAGGGTCTGGGGAGAAAGATGTGATGTGTTCCACCATTCAAATGTAGGGACTGCAATTTTCAGCATTCCTTGTAATATGCATACATGAAATATGTTAAATTATGACACCTTCAAGATAGAGTATATATATCTGTAGCCCAAGGACTGACAGCTGATCAAAAACAGGGTAAAACATAAGAACTAACTCATTCATACTTTTATAGGGCATCTATATTTTGGGAATCAACTTTTTAAAGCACTTAGAGCAGAACTTGTGATGCATTTTCTCTCTCCCTCTGATGCATTAGACCATTAGCAATGCAGTAACAGAGATCTTCCCCTGGATTGCATAGTGAATAGACCTATATGAAAAACTGACATTTTTGCTAACATAAAAATAAAATTTAAAACAGACTCTACCAACCTGAAATAACAAAACAAGATCTTTAGGGTGAAACAAAAATAAACTTACATTAAAAATTCAGGTATTTTTTAATAAGAACAGAAGAAATTTAAATGATGAGCTACACTGACAGGAGAGCTTGGATATCACTCACTGAATTGATAGAAGGTGGTGACAAATGTGGCTTTATGTTCCTCTACAGGCAAATAGCATACTTGTTGTGGATTGACAAAATTCTGCCTTACTTTATTAAAAAAAGTATTTCCTTGAATCCACTCTGTATATTAGAATAGCTTTAATACCAATTGATGGCTCTTGTTAAGGGTAAGATAAAATCCCTGCAAACATGACCAATAACTTTCTTGCTCCCTGACACTCACTGAATGTCAAAGAAAAAAAAGCCTTTGCTTCCTCTAAATTTGTAAAAGTTATTTTTTATAAATTTTATGAGAACATTGCCTATAAATGTATATATGCTGTATGGATTTAATTTCGTTTATATGAACATCTCTTGACTCTTCTCATGCTTCCTAGTGCAGTATGGATCTTTCCACCAGGTTCTTGCACTTAACATGAATGATGTATTTTATTTACAGAGAAACCCAAAAGCATGAACAACCACTACGTGTGGTCACTATTAATCACTCATATCTCTCAAAGATCTTTCCTCAAGATTAGTATCCTTCCTCTTAGAAAAAAGACACATCAGAACTGATGTATATAGCTACCTGTGGATACGACTTTCCAGCGCACAGCAGTTACCAGAATGGATCTCTCTCTTATTCTGTAGTTTTAATATTTTTCCTTCCTCATGGGCATCCTCTTTTAAAATATCACACCATGAAAACCAGCTTAGAGAGCCCATCGTTATGATGCTGAGCAGTAACATGTTGCTTTCAGAGGCTGCTGGTGCTCTGTGTACAGCTGCTGAGGCTCAGTGGCCTTGGTGGAGGAAGCCGCGTGTCAATGGGAGGCATCGCCCCAGTTACTACTCTGGGAATGCCGGGCCAGGAACATCAGGGAAGACTGTGCCATCCTGTGCAACTGACCCCCGGGTGGTGCTTAGAGTTTGGAAAGGCTGGATGGGTTGAGAATGCAAGCCTGCCCTGATGCTCTGTTGGTGTCATCAAATGCAAGAGACTAAGTTCTTCCCATTTCCATTGTCCATTGTTCTACCATCTTGTCTATACGTAAGAAGAACAGGATGCATGCTATCAAAAATAGGACTTGTGATGAAGGCTTGTGTTTCATCCCATCATATTCCTAAACAAAAATAAAACAAACAAAAAGGAAGCAGATGCTGTCATACTCCTTGCAACACACACAACACAAATTGCATCACCATTAGCTCACTTTTCTTCACTTTTTGGCAAACATGTCTAATATACCTACTTTAAATTCCCATCATTTATGAAGAATAGCTGACACACAGCAAGAACTCAAACTGTGCATAATGAATAACTTGGTGAAGTACTGTGCCCAGAAGTAAAACTTCATAAAAGTGTTCTTAAGACATTGCGTGAATTTCAGCTAGGAATAAATCAGTATAATTGGAATTTGTAGATCAAATTCAGCACAAGATTGACATCATATGCACTTGGTAACTATTTAAAGTTGACCCTCAAATAAACATATATATGGTTAAGGACTACAACTTGCTTCAATCTTCCTTTCAACAAAAGAGCAAAATGAGCGTGATTTAAATACCAAAACTGTGACTGTGGTCCATGTTATATTCTTCTTGTGCAAACTTCTTTGTACTCAGCTAGAAGAGGGAATATGGATCCTAGCTCTTTCTTATATAAGAGAGGCCTATTTTTATATTATGTTTTGTATTTTTTTTTTAAATCATGAGCCTGACTATACTTGGCACTATAACTAGTGGAAATACTTGTTCAAAAGCAATGTTAAAGCAAATCATATACAAACTATAGCTTTGCCTAAGAACCAAGGCTGAAAAGTAATACAGAATTACATCCATTGTCTAAAATTATCCATCATGAAACAATTATTTTTGTACTATGACCCTGGTCTTTGTTCATTAAAAGAAGTTAAGCAGCAGCTTTTATTTTATGCAACTCTTCTTTGCGTTTGTGGCACGATGAACAAAGCTCCTTATACTAATAATTCACACTTAAGCTATCATAGAATTATAGAAAAATAAAAAGCCCTGGAAAAGGCTTTAAAGAGACCTGCATTGTATGTCACAGTTGGTCAAAAATAATCACGTTTGAACCACCACCCAAACTAAGTCAGGTAGCATTCAAAATGATTCCTATCCCTCTACTTGTATAGAGAGATCTGCAGACAATCAAGAGATCCAGTCGCAGATCTCCTCGACAGTAGAATTTATCCTCAAAGGTTTAGTATTTATAATCCTATTATTTTCTAATCCTATTATTGTAATGTTTGGATGAATTGAATGTATTTCCTCCTTAATCTCTGTGTGATCTCAAATATTTCCCGTCAATGATGACTTCTGGCTGACCCTACAAATACTTTGTCCTTCAATACTTAAAAATAAATTGCTAGAACTGTTAGGGACATTGTATTTTCCATACATGCACCTTGCTGCTAATGCTTTTGGCAAAGACAATAGTTTTATAATACTATAGATAAGTTCGATTCTCATCAGATTTCCTTCAAAACATGCATTTTATTTTATTTATTAACCTTTATTTTATTTATTAACCTTTTATTTAACCCATAAGTGGCTACCATGATGCATTTTTTTTTCTAAATCATATTTTGGACTGTGCATGAAAAGGAGAAATATCTGCAGATTACACACAGCATACTGAAAAAAAAATGCCATGTGGAATTGCACGGATTTAATGCTATTTAAGGGTTTAAAAGTGACATCATAAATCACAAGAAGGTATGAATTAATTCCTATCCTACCATAAGCCTAAGATAATGTCGTAGCCTCAATTTTGGAAGTTGATTATTTTTCACTCCATTTGCAATTCCATTTTCATTTCCCGAGCCATCCTTTCACCTGCTTGCTTTATTTTGCCCTCTCCTCCTTTTTTATCATCTTCTGTTTCTACTTTTCTTTTCCAACATACTTCAGACTGCCCTACTTGAGTGTGGCAAATAAAGTTTCCATACAAACATGTGGATTCTTATTTTTTGCTAGCCAAAAACACTATATATCAGCAAGGAAATAGGGTGATAAGGCCATAAAGGAGGGAGAGATCAGGCCTCATGACCTGAATACCCTTGGAATACACAAGCAAAGTGCCAAAACAATGAAATATGGCAGACAGGTGACAATTCAAACATAAATGATGAGATTTGCTTGTACTTGACAGCAGCGTGTTTAATTCTGCTATCAACATACTATTAGAGTGTTATTTTCCCTCGTGATGCTTATGTAAACTTTGCTTATGCTCTTCTGCAAACAGTTTAGGCCTCAGTTCCTCTCTAACATTTAAATTAATAGCAGATAACCTTCCTTTTTTTTTTCTCCTGTTTTCCAGCTACCCAAAAGAAAGATAGGAATAATCGCAAGAGAATTATATGGGCAAGATAGATAGATCTGACATATACTTAGCTGGTCAAACATGCCCTTTTTAAATTTTGTTCAACACCAACACAATACACATATGCTAGCACAGTTCTGTGAAATTAAATGTTTTGCATTGGTTTATTTACAAAATACTTTCTTCTTAGAAAAAAAGTGTACTTAGGCAAATGATGAGTTGTCTCAAATAAACTAGGGTATTTTAAAAATATCAAGGACATACAGGTAATCGTGTTTATTGCACTTAGGTTTGTAGACACTTGCCTTGCTCTTATCTTAATGAAGGAGAATTTCCTCCTTTTCCATTCATAGCCTACTTAACATAATTTATAACAAACATTGGCTGTCTCTGTTATAAATGTCATCTTCTGCATTAGTGTCCAGCCATTATATTCCAATAGTTTGTTACCAAAACTCTTAATAGCAAAATTCAAGTGAAACCAATTAATTACAGGAATTCTTAAGCTTTGCTTCAATACACTATTGATATTTCAGTTCTATCCCATTACTGTCACTACATTTTCTAACCAATTATGAAAACGCACATTGCTACTATCCAAAGTTTCCCCTGTCTCATTAAATAGTCTTGGCTGAAGTTCTAAACTGGTTTCATACTGGGACCCAGTACCCTCTTAGGGTAATAGGGATATGAATTCTGGAGCTTTCCAAAAGAAGATACTGTTAGATAGCACTACTTAACTATATTTAAGATAATGTGCAGTAGAGAAAGATTTGCTTTTTCTGAACTGTCTGAGGTTTATGAATCAGCTCTCAACTTAAATGACATAGTACAGTAAACACACATTTTTGCCTGCTTTTAACAGACCACAAGTTCTTACACGTTCTCGTATAATGGTAGCAAACTATCCAAGGTGAAGGAAGTAAAGGAGATAATAGGAGTATGTGGAACATGTTCAGTAAAAGGATGCAGAAGTTATTTTAAGAAAGGGATACATGCAGAATAAAAAATACAGGTTTGAGGTTTAGTGATGATAAGGGAAGAAAGAACAACAAAAGAAAGAAAGACAGCTTCATTATGGGTGAGAAGGAAGGCTTTTTGCCTACTATAATGCATAAAGGAGAACTTCAGGATAGGCAGAGATGCCCAAGGAAATGATTCAATGATTTTAAACATCACAGAGAGTATATTTGTCTTGACATTTTTTCAGCCTTCTCTCTGCTTTGTGATGGATTTTTTTTTATATAAAACATAGTCCAGCATATTTCCTATATAAAAATAATCAGAATAATCTTATTACTTAAAAATAAAAGAAAATCATATAAAATAATCTTCAAAGAAAAATGAGCAAAAGAATATTCAGAGTCAAAGAATGTGAGGAAGTATTTTCCTGGGGTAACTGAAAAAAATCTTGTATTAATTAATATCCTCAAGAAATATATCCGTTTTTTGCAGATGTCTGGGTAGAAGGCAGCCACTGACTTTATCCATAGTACAATCTCACAGCAACCCTTCTCAAATTGTGAAGCAGCTCCAGATCTTGCTATTTGCTTATTTTTTAACTAGCTAATTAGTATTGATTATGAAGCTGCTACATATTTTTTTTTTTCAGAATTAGCAAGATCTCTGTAGAAGAATCCCATGCCAGTGGCAGAAAAATTCCCCCCAAACTATCTTATAAAACATTTGGATGAATGGGTACGTACAAATATGCCACATGTTTGCACTCAAAAACACTGCAAGATTAAAAGCTGGGCTTCAAAGAGTTCCTTTGAAAATACAGCATGGTGGTTTCGATTTTTCCTTATTCCGGATTGTCCTCTAGCATTCAAACTGTCTTCTAGGATTCTTCATAATGTGCCACATGTGAGCCAAACCTTGCTTCATGGTCCCAACAAGGACTTGGCTGCATCTCACTGCTGAAGTCTGCACACAAGGTATCCCTTCTCATAATTATTAAATACTTGGGTCAGACCAAACATTTATGCTAAACTTTCTGATGAGCCTTTATCTCAAATGGGTATAAGTCTAGGAAATGTCAATTTCAGAAACTGCAATGTTTTCCAAAATACACTTGAATGCAACAAGTTGAACAGCAACTTCATCTTTGAGCAGGGCTTTTAGGTACTGTCAATACATACACAGCAAATAACATAACCTTGTGGCATGCTGTACCCGTCTAATCTCCACTGCAAATATGCTTGTATATGGATGGGACATAGATTCAATCTTGATCTCCCTTTTCTGTAAGTTTTTCACTAATAACACATAGTATTAATTGCTTAGTGAGAATTGCTTAGAAATGCACATTACTGGACAAACACAAAAGTAAATATGCTGTATGAGAAGTACTTTCCAGCTTCAAAGGCAAATAGATACTGGCAGATAGATATTAGCATCTCTTCTAAAAGATACTGAAATCAAGCCAGAGAGGAGAAGTAATTTGTCTAGACCACAAGAGTAATTTTTGGAATGAACTAACTCTGGAAGTGCTGGTCACTGCGGACCAGCACACTTCAGCTGTATTCCTAGCCAGAGAGAGGGGGCATAGCAAATATCTACTGTTTTTATAACCGCAGTTCTGTGACTCCATCTCGCCTGACAGCAGGTCAGTTTTCCTTCCCGGTACATGTGCCACCAGCATGCCAATGAGCTCACTGAGTCAGCTGGGAAGGCACCAGGACAGGAACAATGCAGAAGAGTAATTAAAAATAAGGACTCTTGAGGGGACATTTCACTGTGAGCTTCTTCCTATAAACCTTCCTTCTTTTTCTCACA